ATATATATATATATATATATATATATATATATATATATATATATATATTTTTTTATATTTTTTTTTTTTTTTTTATATATATATATATATATATATATATATATATATATATATAAAAAAAAAAAAAAAAAAAAAAAAAAAAAAAAAAAAAAAAAAAAAAAAAAAAAAAAAAAAAAAAAAAAAAAATATATATATATATATATATATATATATATATATATATATATATATATATATATATATATATATATATTTTTTTTTTTTTTTTTTTTTTTTTTTTTTTTTTTTATTTATGTCCATTAGTTTTCTCAAGTCGAAGATCATTGCCTGGAATATATATATGTGGGTTTATCTAAAAAAAAATTTGTTTTAAATCCAAAAGTGCATCATAAATAAATGTTTAAATATGAATCTTCATCCATTTCAATTAATAAACAAATCCTATAAGAGTCATTGGGACAATAAGGTTAAAAATAATACATACCTACGTGCGGCGACATGGTGGCTAGCACTGTCGCCTCACAGCAAGAAGGTTGCTGGTTAGAATCCCATCTGGGTGAGTAAACATTTCTGTGTGGAGTTTGCATGTTCTCCCCATGTTGGCGTGGATTTTCTCCGGGTGCTCCGATTTCCCCCACAAGTCCAAAGACATGCGGTACAGGTGAATTGGATAAACTAAATTGGCTGTAGTGTATGAGCGGGAATGTGAGTGTGTATGGGTGTTTCCCATTACTGGGTTGCAGCTGAAACTGCATCCGCTGTGTAAAACATATGCTGGATTAGTCGGCGGTTTATTCCACTGTGGCAACCTCTGATGGATAAAGGGACTAAGCCGAAGTAAAATGATTGAATGAATGAATATACTGCATGCATATCATTCTGTTGTTAGTGACTCCCCAAACCAAAATATGGACCATTTATAATCCATAATAGAGGCACTTTGATTTATTATTTACGATATAATATTGAACTCTGGGGTATATCTTAAAAATCTATTAGTTTTGAAATAAAACACTTTCACATATAGGCTAATTTATTAGATCTGTATTTTGTGAAACATGTTTTTTTTATCTTCTCGTAGGTGAGAACTGTGAGGTTGACGTCAACGAGTGTGAGAGTAACCCCTGCCACCATGGCGGGACCTGCATCGACCAATCAAACGGCTACACCTGTCATTGTCCTCCCGGCTGGGTCGGTGGAAGCTGTGAGATCCGTGAGTTTACTCTGTTATTATGGCGAATTTCCAAACCATCTGGATTTGCTTACAGCATAATATAAATATAAACTCGACAACTCTGATAACGAAAGAGCAAGTTTTAAAAGCATCAACCGTTTTGTTAGCATGTTTTACATTCTTGCTAGCATATTTTAGCTAGTGACCTAGATTAAGCAAGTTTACACATAATAAAAAGTTTTTTAAAGCTAACATTTTAACAAGAAGCTAATATTTTGGTTAATTTCCAGCATGCCAAAGCAAGTTGCTTACATTTAGCAAGTAGCTTACATAGTTTAATGTCACTAGCAGGTTCCAGTGCATTGTTTGCATGTTTTAAGTTAACATTTTTACCATGTTGCCTAGCATGTTTACATTTTTTATCTAATTACTAGCTTGTTTTACCACATTGATTGGCTTTGACAAAATTGATAACGTTTAATAGGTAGCTTGCATGTTTCAATACACTTATAGCATGTTTATGTTCAGCCAAATTGCTAGTATGTTTTAGCACATCATTAGCATTTGTTGACTAAACTGACAGAATGTTAAATGTGTTAATGTGCTTCTAGCGTGTTTGCTTTTGCTGTTGCTAACATATATCTAACATGATGCAATACATTGTTAGCATGTAAGTTGTTCTAGCAATTTAGCAGCATGTTTTAGCATAATATTAGCATGCTTTGACAAACTTGACAACTTGTTTAATAAGTAGCTTGCATGTTTCAACATGTTTATGTTCTACTAAATTACTAGCATGTTTTAGCACATCGTTAGTGACAACTAACAACATGTTAAATGTGTTAATGTGCTTGTAGTGTGTTTGTTGTTGCTGACATTTGTCTAACATGTTGTCATATATTAATAGCATGTTATATATTCCAGAAAATTAGCAACACGTTTTGTTAGCATGCTTTGACAAACTTGACAGCTTATTTAAATGTTAATGTGCTTTTAGCCTGTTTACTTTTGCTATTGCTAGCATGTATCTAACATGTTGCAACATATTGTTAGCATATTAATATGTTCTACCAAATTAGTAGCATGTTTTGTTAGCATGTTTTGACAAAATTGACAGCAGGTTTATCAAGTAGCTTGCATGTTTCAACATGTTTATATTCTACTAAATTACTAGCATGATCAGCACATTGCAGGCGTTCTTTGACAAAATTGTCAGCATGTTTAATCTGTTAATGTGCTTCTAGCATGTTTGCTTTTGCTGTTGCTAGCATGTATCTAACATGTTGCATTACACTGTTAGCATATTTATGTTCTAGCAATTTAGCAGCATGTTTTACCATATTATTAGCATGCTTTGACAAAATTGACAGCTTGTTTAATAAGTAGCTTGCATGTTTCAACATGTTTATGTTCTACTAAATTACTAGCATGTTTTAACACATCGTTAGCCTTGTTTGACAAAACTAACAGTGTTAATGTGATTCTAACATGTTTGATTTGCTGTTGCTAGCATGCATCTTACATGTTGCAGTACACTGTTAGCATATTGTATGTTCTATAAAATTAGCAGCATGTTTTAGCATATTGTTAGCATGTTTGACAAAATTGACAGCATGTTAAATGTGTTACTGTGCTTCTAGCATGCTTGTTTTTGCTGTTGCTAGCATGGATCTAACATGTTGCAATATATTATTAGCTTATTACATTCAAGCAAGTTAGTAGCATGTTTTAGCATAATGTTAGCATACTTTGACAAAATTGACAGCAGGTTTATTAAGTAGCTTGCATGCTTCAACATGCTTATGTTCTACTTAATTACTAGCATGTTATCGCACATTGTTAGCATTCTTTCACAAAAAACTGACAGCATGTTTAATGTGTAGGTGTGATTCTAGCATATTTCAACACATTCTCGTGTTTTAGCCATCCATTGGCATGTTTTATCAGGTTCTTAGCATGTTTTACGGTTGCAAAATCGATAGCATGCTAATATGTTGCTATCATGTTGTAACATTGCTATAATATATAGAAAGTCATGTTTTGATGTTGCTAGTATCTCTATATTATAGATAGCCTGTTTTCATAGGCTGCTAGCAAATTGTTAGCATTTTTTATTGCTAGCAAGTTGCCAGTATGTTTTCATTTGTTGGCTTGCTAAAATGTTGCTAACTTGCTTTAGTTTGTCATTAGCGTCAATGTATATGTTTTTTTCTCAATATTAATTGCCTGTTTTAGAAGAACCACAAGTCCAAATCTAGCAGAATCTAAAGGTGTAATTCAAGTTTTAAAGCTCTTAGGTGAAGTCAGAAATTTTACTCTAAGAAGGCTAATAGGAACTTAAAGAGACATGGTGTTCTTGTCCTGCGTAGGGCAGCTCAGCCATTTCTCCCTGACAATGCAGGCCTCAAGGACACCCTTATGCATGCAGAGGCGCAAGGATCGCTTCCCCGAGGAGTGACGCGCTCTTGCCTTTTATGGCAGCTGTGACTCGGCACCATTAGCTTCCTGCGAGCCTCCTCACGCTCTGCCAGCTCGCATCATCATGGCACCAGCAGCCAGAGACAGACGTCTGTGACGTGCAGGAGGAGTCATGTGACCCTCTGAAAGATCTCCCCATTCAGACATTTTCATCAATAGCCCACCATGCAAATGCCCTTGCCAGATGACCCTTGGCTATACTTCTGACTACTGTAGCATTTCATCTGCTAGATTGTTGGCTGCGTACAGGAATATAGCAGATTTTATAAGAACTAGAGCAGTCATTGACTTCTCGCCACATTAGGATGATGTTCTAGGAAGGTCAAAACACAGTATGTACTGTTAAACATAAACTCATTAGCACTCCTGGGTAATCTCTATTTTTTTTAAATGTTTCCCAAGTTCTCAAGTCCTATTTAATAGACATTTTTTCAACACATTTTAAACACGTTCACGTTTTAACAACTAATTTATAATAACTAGTATAATATAACTAATTTATTTTGTCTTTGCCATACTGACATTACATAATGTTATTAGTTATTTTGCATGATAATGGGGTTAACTACCTTAGCAGTTTTTATTATATATATATATATATTATATAATAGTTATATAGTTATTGTTAGCGTTTCTGTGTGGAGTTTGCATGTTCTCCCTGCGTTCGCGTGGGTTTCCTCCGTGTGCTCCAGTTTCCCCCACAGTCCAAAGACATTCAGTACAGGTGAATGGGGTAAGCTAAATTGTCCGTAGTGTATGAGTGTGTGTGTGGATGTTTACCAGATATGGGTTGAGGCTGGAAGGGCATCCGCTGCATAGAAACTTCCTGGATAAGTTGGTGGTTCATTCCGCTGTGGCGACCCCTGATAAATAAAGGGATTAAGCCGACATAAAAAATGAATGAATGAATGAATAAACAAACAATGAACAATACATTTACTACTGTATTTGTTCATGTTAGTTAACGTTAGTTAATGAAAATACAGTAGTTCATTGTTAGTTCATGTTAACTCATGGTGCATTAAGTAACGTTAACAAGCATGGACTTGAATGTTAATAATGCATTATTAAATGTTCAATCATGACTAATAAATGATGTACATGTGTTGTTCATATATATATATATATATATATATATATATACATACATACATACATACATACATACATATAGGGGTAACGCATTACAACCACAACATTTAATGAAAAGATAAGAGAAAATTCAAGATAGACTATTTTGTTTGAGGGACTGGCAGAAAAAAGTTTGAAAAACACTGAGCTACAGGAACCTCAGAGGGTCCAAACTAAAATGTAGTTGCCATTGTGTCATATCTAGGCTTATTTAAAACTGAAAATTAAAATGTGAAAATCCTGAATAAAAATTCAGGACAAAGAGGATTTTTCCAGGACATTTGGTCATTTTTCTCAAGTTCCAGCTCATTTCCATGACTGGAAAACAATCCTCCAAATTTCAAGGTTTTCCAGGTTGCATGGTGGAAACCCTGATTTTTTTTCCAAAACATACTAGCAATGTGTTCAAACTTAATAGAACGGTTCCTGTCCCCAATCATTCATTCATTCATTCATTCATTCATTCATTCATTCATTCATTCATTCATTCATTCATTCATTCATTTTCTTGTCGGCTTTGTCCCTTTATTAATCCGGGGTTGCCACAGCAGAATGAACCGCCAACTTATCCAGAAGGTTTTTACTCAGCGGATGCCCTTCCAGCCGCAACCCATCTCTAGGAAACATCCACACACACTCATTCACACTCATACACTACAGACAATTTAGCTTACCCAATTCACCCGCACCGCATGCCCTTGGACTCTGGGGGAAACCGGAGCACCCGGAGCAAACCCATGCAAACGCAGGGAGAACATACAAACTCCACACAAAAACGCCAACTGACCCAGCCAAGGCTCGAACCAGCAACCTTCTTGCTGTGAGACGACAGCGCTACCTACTGCGCCCCAATCACCCAAACAAAATAGTCTGTCTTGATTTTCCTCTTATCTTTTCGTTGAATTTTACAACCATAATTATTACTTTTATAAACGTCCTTATTATAAACATCTATTCTTTTATAAGCAACCCTCCATCCCACCATAGCAACTTCACTGAGGATCTTGTACGTCATGATTTTGCCAAGTATGATGTGATCCTGGATTAACATCTATGTTGATCCTGGAACATCATTTTTGTTGTAAAATGTATTCCAAACCTATTCTCTACCCCTAAACCCAACCAAACCTTTAGATTATTCATTCATGTAGTCATGTAGAAGTGCATAAACCTAACCGCAACATAAACTCTACACGTATCCCTTAATTCTGATTGGCTGATTGGTATGTTGTTCCAGGATCAACATAGATCAGTTAATCCATAATAGTTAATCCAGGAGCATGTGCTACTCGGTAAAATCAGGTTGGTGGAAGATCTTAGCAACCACCCAGAACATCTGAACATAGAGTTTTGGACTGGAAAACACCCAAACATGTTTTTCATTTCTGTTGTTCCTCATTATTGCCTTTATTGTGATTTTGTTGATCAGATCTGCAGTGGAAGATGGCTCAGCCGGTGGACTCTCTGACCAACATGCCACGTCACTCTCTGTATATCATCATCGGGGCTCTGTGCGTGGCCTTCGTCTTGATGCTCATCATCCTCATCGTCGGGATCTGTCGCATCAGCCGTATTGAATACCAGGGCTCATCTCGTCACGCCTACCAAGAGTTTTACAACTGCCGCAGTATCGACAGTGATTTCAGCAATGCGATCGCCTCTATCCGCCACGCACGGTACTGCTGGCTTTTATTAATCTGGGTTAAACAAAGAAGACATTTCTGTTAAATGTTAATGTTTCTACACTCTAACAAATTTTAATAAAAAAAGTCAAGACAACAAATATTTGTGTTGCTTTAACTTAGTTTGATTAGTTAATCAGGTTTCAACTAAGTCAGTTTAGTCAGTTTGATTGCTAAAATAAAGTTGAGATGACTAGAAAAGTTAATTTGATTAATTTAAAATAGAGTTTTGTGTACTTTGGAAAGGTTTTGGCAATTTTTATCTCACAATTCACACCTTTATTCTTTATTTTTAATTATGAGAAGAAAAGCTGAGTTGTGAGAAATGAAACTGTCATTCTGAGATTGTGAGAATTGCAAGATTTACATTTATTTTCTATATAACTGATGATTCTGACTTTTTATTAGAAATGTGAGTTCATATCTCAATTCAAAGTTTATATCATAATACAGGCAAAATGGGAGATGAATTTGTAATTGTAGGAAAGATTTTCAGTTTACATGAGCGTCAAGTAACAATTGTGAGAGCCAAGAAAGTTGCTGTTTTGATCAATTAAGGCACAGTTCTGATAGCTAAAAAAGTCAGAATTTCCAGTGAACTCATAAACTTGTAAAAAATGTTTAAATGGTGAGATATTATATATATATATGTAAATCTATATTATTTTGCAACTGTTTCTCATAATTGTTTTTGTTTTTTCAATGTAAAAATCAGTCTTGGTTAAAGAGAGAAGATATTTTTGTTAAATGTTAATGTTTCTACACTGATTGATGAAAAAAAGTCAAGATAACAAAAATTTGTGTTTCTTTAACTAAGTTTGATTAGTTAATCAGGTTTCAGCTAAGTTTTTTCAAGTTGTCCAAAGTTTAACTTCATATTTTAGTCAGTTTGATTGGTAAAAAAAGTCAAATAAAGTTGAGATGACTAGAAAAGAAGAAAATTATGAGAAGAAAAGCTGAGTTGTGAGAAATTAATCTGTCATTCTGAGATTGTAAGAATTGTAAGATTTACTTTTATTTTCGATATAACTAACTCATGATTCTGACTTTTTTTTTTCAAAAATGTGAGTTCGTATTTCACAATTCAGAGTTTATATTTCACAGGCAAAAGCGGGAGATGAATTTTGAATTGTAGGAAATATTTTCAGTTTACATGAACGTCAAGTAACAATTGTGAGAGCCTAGAAAGTTGCAGTTGCAATAAATTAAGGCACAGTTCTGATAGAAAACGTCTGAATTTTCAGCATTTAAACTCATAAATAAACTAAAATTATAAGATATAAACTAAAATGTTACGAGAAATAAAACAGTAATTCTGAGAAGCACTGTGTGAATTACATAATTTACATTCATTTTCTAGTTATTCAAAGTTTATAATTCATGATTCTGACTTTATTTTTCATAAATGTGAGTTCATATCTCACAATTCAGAGTTCATATATCATAATACAGGCAAAAACGGTAGATGAATTTGGAACTGTAGGTAAAATTCTAAGTTTACATGAGCATCGAGTCACAATTGTGAGAGCCTATACAGTTGCACTTGCAATAAATAAAGGGACGGTTTTGAAAGAACAAAGCTGAATTTCCAGGATTTAAATAAAGCCAAAATGATGATATTTAAAGTTAAAACTAGTATACAGAAGAAGAAAAAAAAAATCATGAGCATCAAGTTTTCTTCTGTTTCAATTGTGTTTTCTTAATGTAAACTTTAACAAAAATGTCAGAAATGATTACAAGATTTAAATAAATGAGAAAACTTTAGTAACATAACAAATTCTGAGAAAATAAAGTCAAAACTCTCTAACAAATCTGAGTGTATATATATATATATATATATATATATATATATATATATATATATATATATATATATATATATATATATATATATATATATATAAATATATATATAAATATATATATATATATACATACATACATACACACACACACACACACACACACACACACACACACACACAAACACACACACACACACACACACAC